ACGTCCCGATAGGACAGCCCGTCCTGCGGCTCAAACGGTCACCCCGGAAATGGTGTAATCGAATGAGGAGTTTCCGTCACCTGCACCGGTCGTGTGGTGGGGTGACCGCCGTCTGGAAAGGGAAACGTGAGGAGCATGATGACTTCGTCCCGAGGAGGACAAGAATTAATTTAATGCCGCGCTAGGAAAAACAAGTTCCTAACAAAAGCAATCACCCTGCAGCGTCGCCGGAACACACAACACTCCAATCCATAGTCCAGCACCCTGCTGCTACGCCACGGAATACGCACAGACCAAGGCACAGACTCCCAATTTGAAAGTAGATAAGTTTGTCGGAAGCCGCGGAGGTGTATCAATTGTGGGCGAAACGATCAGTCGGCACGCGGCCCGCACTCTGGTCAGACAGCCGGGGCTCGGGCTAGGTCAGTCACGTGACCGACCGACTGGTGGTGAAGGACTCCACACTGTAAACACGGGCGGAGCCAGATCCGGGAGCCAAGAATATAACTAAGGGCCGTGGGGTCAGGGGTGCCAGATTATGTGTGACAGGTAGGGCCTTGGCCTACAGTTTACAAATGCAGGCTTAAGTGAAAATGGTCCTTGTTATTGCATTGGTGCAACGAGCAGAGATGTTGGCGGCACCTTTGACACCATTTACGTAACATTTAGGAAATGACATGTCTATGCAGTTGTAAATATCTGGGATCTAAGTAGGTATGCTGTATGCAAGTCGCTGCAATAGGTATGATTTTCTATTCTTGATAATTAAAATAAATGCAACGCATAAACACTAAACAGGTAAGGCACGCAACGATAGACACGAAGCTATTAACCAATCAGCTGTCAAGTTACAATAGCACAGATCTCCTTTCTGTAGAAAAGCAACGACTCCCGCGCGATCCGAACACACGACAATTCAAAGACCAGCCCGACGCCATACCACAGCGCCACGGATCCGCGGGCTGACCTGGCCCGGCCGGCTGCAGTGTCGATAGGTCGCGACCCCATGGCACCGCAGCGCCCAGTCTCAGTCTGCGCTTGGGTCACTTGACCAAGCCTAGGGCGAGGTAAGTCATGTGACCGGTTCGAAGTGAGGGAACCCACACAGAATCCAGTAGTTACCGGGGTTACATGAGCGATCCGTTCCAAATACGCACTACGCTAATGCGCATCAGCTACCCACAAACGTATCTACGGCACCGGTTACATGAGACTAATTCGTTTTATCTACGTCAAACGGATCTTGTTTGGCTCACCCGGGCTGACTCCTCGACGGCCGGTAATTCGTATCACAAACGGAATAGGATTAGCGTACAGTCATGGCGCAGTTGCGGCATTTACCGGGACGACTGAACTAAATTTTAAATACTTATATCATTTGATAGGCTCAAAAACATTTAAAATTAACATGAAATCAAAAAATGAAAACAAAGTTTTCTTGTTTTAAGTCAGTGGGCACTGATTCGCCATGCAGTGACAGCAGGGTGGTCAGAAAAAATTATCTATCAAAATATTTCATTCATTTCATTTCACATGCAAAGACTAAACCAAATTACCAACATTTTTTTTGTTATTTTCTACGAGGCAGCCAATAAAAAATGTTTATTATTTTGCATTTTGACGTTTCCAGTCAGCAAAGAATAGTTCTTGTGAAATACGGCCCGAATCGAGTGCCTCCATAGATATAAAGACGCCTCGGTTACATGAGCGATCCGTTCCAAATACGCACTACGCTAATTCGCATCAGCTCCCCAAGAACGCATTCAGTGCACCGACCAAGGCCATCTATAGAAGGTACAGTCACTCCCCCGCCGACCAAACAGAGACAGATCCTGAGTGACGTCATCCCTGATGCTCGCAAGGGGTGCTCCATTCCTTTACAACGTAAAAATGACTGGCCACAGCGGACCGTCTACCGCACGCAGCCGTGACGTCAGAGCCGCCTACCCATCCCCTACCCCACTGAACTCTATTATCGGGGTTACATGAGCACAGTAAATACGTATTTAGCCGCTAATTCGAATTAGGAACGCATTACCGACTCATGTAGCCACCTGCTAGTACGAATCGGCGATCCGATCCGCGGTTACATGAGCAAAGCAAATACGTATCACGATCGGATTCACCGCTAATGCGAATCAGGAGCGTACTACCGACTCATGTATCCACCTGCTAATACGAATCGGTGGTCCGAACAAAATCCGCTGAGAAAGAGGCTTAGAAGCGAATAGGACCAAGGTACGTATTACAGGAACTATTTCTTCGCAAAAAGAAACATTAAAATGCAAAATAATAGGTATTTTTTCATTTTCTTCTTTTGAAATAATATTTAAAAAATATGTCGGTATTTTGCCAAGTTTTCAACAATAAATATAGTGAAAACCAAATAGTAAATATCCACATAATTTCAGTTGAAACATTTTTATGACATCACTACAGACGAATCAAGAGAGGCAATTGCCCAATGAGTCAAAGCAAGACAACTTTATGTTCAACTTTTTTTGTTAAGTTAATTGAGAATGTTTTTAGCAGATTAAATGCAAAAAAGACATAAGATAATAAATTTTTAATTTAGTCACCTCTATTGCTACGGAAGTGCGCCACATTTGTAAGCTATTCCGTTTGTAATGCGCATCGGGCCGAGAGCCAAACTAGATCCGTTTGACGTCACTGATACGTATTTGCTCATGTAGTCGGTGCACTGAATGCGTTCTTGGGGAGCTGATGCGAATTAGCGTTAGTGCGTATTTGGAACGGATCGCTCATGTAACCGAAACGTCCGAGGCACACGATTCGGGCCGTATTTCACAAGAAGTATTCTTTGCTGACTGGAACCGTCAAAATGCAAAATACTTAACAATTTTTTATTGGCTGCCTCGTAGAAAATAGCAAAAAAAAAATGTTGGTATTTTGGTTTAGTCTTTGCATGTGAAATAAAATGAATGAAATATTTTGATAGATAATTTTTTTCTGACCACCCTGCTGTCGCTGCATGGCGAATCAGTGCCCACTGACTTAAAACAAGAAAACTTTGTTTTCATTTTTTGATTTCATGTTAATTTTAAATGTTTTTGAGCCTATCAAATGATATAAGTATTTAAAATTTAGCTCAGTCGTCCCGGTAAATGCCGCAACTGCGCCATGACTGTACGCTAATCCTATTCCGTTTGTGATGCGAATTACCGACCGTCGAGGAGTCAGCCCGGGTGAGCCAAACAAGATCCGTTTGACGTAGATAAAACGAATTAGTCTCATGTAACCGGTGCCGTAGATCCGTTTGTGGGGAGCTGATGCGCATTAGCGTAGTGCGTATTTGGAACGGATCGCTCATGTAACCCCGGTATATAATATGGAATGCGCATCGGCCGCCAGATGGTGTCCAACGGTGCCGCCATGTTGCGCAGACCAGAAAGCGGCCGCCGCCTGTGTTGGGGAATAGGGAATTCGGGACCTCGATTTACGTTTGCGGTCGCTGCATCCGTTACGTTCAAGCTATGTGGACACGGAACCCAGCATCTTACGCAGAATTGAGTGGAGAACAAGATGAAATCCTAAAAAAATCCTCAGATATAAGGAACTAATACGTTAAACCCTTATAAGTCAGTGGGGAAATATGAAAATTGCTATTTTGGCGCCGAGAATGATCTGAAACTATCTCAAGCATATAGAATCATGATTTCATGCACTCCTTGCAAGGTTCTATGATTCATATTTACATTGTTGCCCTTGCGTGACGTCATTTGTGACGTCACAAGGGTCACAATTTTTCTTCAATAACTCCCGATCAAATTGAGCTAGCGAGTCGGGAAAGCCACCAATGGACTCAGGAAGACCTGCCGAATCGAATGATATGCGACATGACCTCTTTCGACCAACTTCGTGACCTGGGGGTGCTGACCTGACCTTGACCTGAGGTCAACACCCTAAGTTGACCTGACCCGAACAAAAAGTATATCATTCGATGCGCCTGAGCTAGCTGAACACGATGATGCCAAAATCGCGGCTCTACGGCCATTTTTGGCGAAGTTATTTACCAAAAACCGAACCCTTGCCTTAGATCACTTGATCTAACCTCAGAGGTCACCGGTTGACCTGGGACCTTTACAGCGGGTTCCTACCAGTCACTCTGCATTATACTTTGCCGCATACGACCACTTTACCGCTTAATTCTAGTTAAATTAGCGGCGCATTAGCGAGGTGGGTTCAATCAACCCCCTCGGCCGGGGCAAATGTAGGTCCGGCGAGTGAATTTAAGGAATTCTGAAGATACGATCGTGTTCCCCACTCAATTCTGCGTAAGATGCCGGGTTCCGTATCTACGTAACTTGAACGTAACGGATGCGGCGGCCGCAAAGGTAAATCGAGGTCCCGAATTCCCTATTCCTCAACACAGGCGGCGGCCGGTTCTTGGTCTGCGCAATATGGCCGCCACCGTTAGACACCACGGCCAATAGGATTGAAGCGGCAGTGCTCCCCTGGTCGTTTTGGAGGCTACGTACTTTGGATGTTGCGTCTTTAGATGTTGCGTTTTTTGATGATACGTTTTTGGACGTTGCGGTTTTGGATATTTCGGTTTTGGACTTTGTGAATGCCCCCTATAAACCCGATTTTGGACGTATTTTGGACGTTGCGTACTCTGGACGCTGCGGTTTTGGATGTTGCGTTTTTTGGGTGCTGCGGTCTTGGACGCTTTGATACGGACCCACGTCAGCATCGTCAGCATTCCGTCACCGCACACAGCGATCGCTGATGGCCTTGGATCGCTGTGGCCGGTCGGGACTGGCCACAGCGGACCGTCCACCGCACGCAGCCGTGACGTCAGAGCCGCCTACCCATCCCCTACCCCCACGCCTGCTGGACGTACCGCACACACCGCACGCAGCAGTGTGCGGTGCCCGTGAACACCCCTGTTACTGGGTTACGGATTGGGATACGACCGATACCGGAGAGAGAATCTTGGGTCGCATAACGGTAAGTGCTTCCATTATTCCTCCCATTTTTTGTTCAGTGTTCAGGATGCTGCCTGCAATCATACCTGGTGACTCATAAATTGTGTTGAAAAATTGAATAAAAAATGTGTTGGGCACAAGGTAAATATTTACTAAAGGTCTGCAATCCTTAAAAAATAAAGATTCTTACATTATTTCATGTCCTTTATTCAGATATGGTACTTGCATGTCTCACAAATGTAAAACAAAAAATACTTTACCATTATGCCCCCTGCTAGGTATTGCTATATCAGTTGGGGAAACTACGATGAGCCAAACAAAAATTGGATCAGCCAATCAACGGCTGGAGGGGGCGGGGACAGGGTGATGACCATATGTGGTCATAAAATCAGACAACTTCATCTTTTCCATGCATCCTAGCATTCCAATGAAAAAATAAGGCATAAGAATGTATTTTAACCACACAAGGCCTACACTCACTCGGTACACAATTAACTGGCGGCTCTAAATTGCAGAGTTACAATACAAGGTCAAACAATGATTGGCAAATATGGCAGATTGAAACAGACGTGCCAAAAAATTTAAGCAGCACCATGGTTTTAAAATGTCATTATTTTTATTATGTTGTTTATGGTTTTTCTAAGTTAAATATATTTTTTTTTTTTTTTTGTAATAAAATTAAATTTTTTAACAATTTTCCTTCAAAATACCAATTCATTTATTGAATGGCCAGCTGAATGTGATGCCCAGAACCTGCAGAAAAGCAGTTTACCTATCGCCATTTTCGAGTGAATTTGCTGAATTTGATCCAATTGTGTTGATTCCTAGTGGAAAATGGAAGCTTCTTCCCTGCGATAAGTGGACATGATACCTACCGCAAGTACTGGCACATTAGGTAGGCTGTTTTTCACCCTTAGTAGAGAGGGCTGCATTTGTGTCCATATATGGTCATCAAAAGTCTATTGACCAATCCATTTTTGGATCGTCGCCTCTTAGTTTCCCCAACTGATATCAGTCGGGGGAGGTTTGGACAATCATCATTTTTAGCACATGCCATTTATGGCAACCGTGTGCCAAAAATGATAACGCTATCAGCTATTTTTGGCAACGATGAAGCCGGTTTCACTCCTCAGGGAGGAAATCACGATTTTGGAAATACAAGCACTGAATACCTACTGATTATGGAAAAGAAGTGCTGCCACCTGGTGCAAGAAGAATAAACCAGCTTTAATATTGCTGTTGTTTGTATGGTAGTCCAATGTTGCCGTATACCCTTTTTTGTGGCCTGAAGTTGGAACTTCAATTTGCAGCCTCCGAAAATGATCAATAGGTATTGATCAAAAACATAATTTTGATGAAAAAAGAATATGCTTAGTTGAAAAATTTTGATGAAAAAAGAATATGCTTAGTTGAAAGAGGAGGATATTTCAACCAGATACGGTGGTTTACTTCTTGAAATTATTTTTGTTCATGACGACTGCCATGTACCTAATGACGCAGGGTTTCGGAGTCTCGGAGTCGCCCGGAGTCGTGGCAAGCAGCCAGGAGTCGGAGTCGTTACCCGGTCCAGCTGCCTCGACTCCGACTCCGGTCTAACATCCGTGCTTCACTTTTCAGTTGTTTTTAACCAGTGGCCAGGGGTGGATTTTTTTTTTATTGGGGTTGCATAGCCCCCCAAGTGGTTCCGAGGGGCGCAATGGTCCGTAAGTGGGCGCCACCAGGGGCGGTCGTAAACTTGGCGTTGGGGGTGGGCAAATTGGCAAAGGGGCCCATGTAGACCCTCGCGGGGGTGGTGGGGTGGTGTGTTAGCTTAACCCGCGCCCCGCTGGGGGGGGGGGCAGAATCTGCCCCCCCCTCCCGTTTTTCGCCAATAACTTCTAAACGCGTTACGCCAGCGACGTCAAACTTTCGGTACCTTATCATACATCAATTTGACACGTTCCCTGAAAATTTGAGCGAAATCCGTCGGAAAATTTTTGAGAAATTGACGTTTTAGTGACGTCATGTTCGCCATTTTCGCCTCAAAAACGGCAAAATTTCAAACGCCGCTAACATCTTCATTTTTAAAGGAATCAAGACGTAACAAAAAAGGTTATGCGTGATTCCACTTTGTCTATCAAATGGCTATCTCGGTTTTTTGAAAATTTTGGATTTTGGCCCAAATTTTTTCAAAAAACTGACTTTTTTGGGAAAATTATAAAATCAAAAATTTTGACTGTATCGAAAAAACCGGAATATATGTCAGAGAAGTGGTCTATGTGCACCTACATACCAATTTTGAGAAGAATCGGTTCAAAAATGTGGGAGTTATTCAAAATTTTATGACGTCACGGCACACAAAAATTTTGAAAAATGATTTTTTGGAAGTTCTAGACCTCGTACGGAAACAAAAATAGCACCATTCGATTCGCCGTGAAAAACTGCATCAGATAGACACCTTTTTAGGCCTTAAAAACCAACTTCAAAATTTGACCTCACTTGACCTGACCTTGACCTGACCTCGACCTGAAATTCATCCAGAGGTGGTCCATATCACTTATTGAGTGTGCCTATTGAATTCTATGAGTAAAATGACCCATAAAACATGTGTCGCACATGCCCTTTACTACCTATATTTTGTTTTTGGTGACCTGACCTGACCTGATCTGACCTTGACCTTGACCTTTGAATGACATTGTATGCAACGAATATTGTCTTGGTAGTCTAAGAACACGTTTTGGGCAATCAGTCTCAGTCCATTCTTCGGCAACTACGGTGCAAGGCCGATACTGTAGAAACTTGCATTTTGTACCCTTGACCTGACCTTGACCTGACCTCTGACCTACTTTAGCAAAAAAAATTGGGCTCTTAAGATCCGCCTTGTTGAGAGCTTTCGATTGCCGTTTTCCCCGTCTTTCTATGACCATCGGTTCGGAAGTTAGACAGGGGGGGGGCAGAATCTGCCCCCCCCCCCCCAGCAGGGCGCGTATGGCTGAATAGCCCAGCGGGGCGCGGGTTAACCCGCGTACGGCCCTCCAAATATTTAGTGGTTAGTTGCCAACATCACAATAAGCGATCTGCATTGATGAATACGTCTAATGGCTGTTTTGCCGAAGTGTGTGCACGAACCCTCTTCTCATTTCTATTGAGTCATTTTAAAGGAGTGTCTCTGTCATTCAAAGTTATTACACCAAAAACACATAGGCTAACCCACCACTCTTGCTGGAGGGCCGTACGGCGGGGGGCGAATATCCGTCCCCCCTGAGGTTTTACGTTCAAAAGTACAGGAAAACTTCTGGAAGCAGTATGAGACCCTTATATAAGCCCGGCTTAAGATCATTTAAGGCCAGTATTGACCCTCATAAGCCGGGCGAGACCTCGCACAGTATGGGTCTTTGAACTCCAATGTGGGTCTTACGAGACCTGCCTAAGCCATCGGAGGCCAGTGTGGGGTCATCAAAGGCCAGTTCGGAACCTCTGAGATGGTATGAGCCCTTGGAGGCCAGCGTTGGGCCTTGAGAGGTCAATGTGTGACCCCTTGACTGGTATGGACCCTAAGAGACATGTGTGGTGCCAATGAGACTAAAAATAGACAAAACTAACGACATGAGGCTCTCAGAGACTAGCAGCGGCCATTAAAATCTGCATGGGCCAAAAACATCGACAGGAGCCCTCCGAAACCGGCAAAGACTAAGACGATAGCATGAGGCGCCCAGGATGGGCAAGTTCTGGCTCTCAAAGCCTAAATGAAACTATCAGAGATCAGTGTGGGATCCTTGGCACCAGACACCGGCCCTCAGAAACCGATGTGACCCCGATATGGTATAGAATTTAACCCTCGCCCATGTAGGGGGGGGTGCAACCCCCCCTGAGGTTTTTCTTAGCTACACGCCGAACCGTTTCAGATAGCCTGCTCAAATTTTTAGTACCCTATGGGGCATCCTTTGCGCAACTTTTGGTATTTTTTTTGTCAAGGTCATGTCAGCTCACGGAGTTATGACGTCATAAAGGGAACAACCTCCGGCCAGATTTACGCTAAATTGGAGATTGCTTCACATTGGTATAAATGCCGACTGACCTGACACACTGATGGATTGTTTTAGAATCATAACTGGTTGATTTGACATTGGCACAATGTCCGTTGACATTTTGAAGGTTACTAAAGGTCAAGGTAAGGTCAGTGACCTCGGTTGACCTGTAATGACTTTTTGCACTTTTATGCCTTTTCGGGGTATTTTGATGCCCTGAATTCGAATTTGCTATCCATTTCAGGCATCGTCGGTTGTTTCTTGTAGTTCATTTTGGGTCAGGGTCAGGTCAGTGACGTCACACGCCTGACGTGACCCAATGCACAAATGACCTTGCAGACTTCCGATGCTCCCAACGCATCATTTTTAGAGTTATGACATCGAAATACTTACCAAACGATAGAGAATTGATCAAGGATCACGATAGTGAAGGTTTCAAGTCGATATCTCTTACCGTTTTGCCGCAATCGGCGCGGAAATCTGAAAAAGTTAGATTTTTCCGAAAATTTGACCTTTGACCGGTCATAAGTAGGTCAAATGTTGACCTTAGGATCAAAAAATATACCACCAATCGCGAGATCTCGTTGAGAGCAATCCGTTGGTCTTTTCCGCTAAGCTCTACGACGCTCCGTTTTCAAACGCCAAGGGGGGGGGGTCGCACCAACCCCCCCTGCATGGGCGAAGGTGGCAAAACACCGTTTACGGGCGAGGGTTAAGGCCCGCTGCGACGAGATAACGGCCCTCATATTCCGAAATTCCGACACGGGAGCCAGCAGAGACTGACAGGGAACCTTGGAGGACGGCATGAAACGCCAAAAGTTCTTCCTTGGACCCCAGAGACTAAAGATGGGACTCTCAGTCTGGTGTTGGGCACTCTAGGGCCTGTTTTGGGCCACGGGGGTCCGGTTCCGTCCATCAGATGCCGGGTATGGGCTATGGCCCTCAAAAGCCGGTTTGGGACCCTGAGCGGCCAGTACTGGCCCTCCAAGGCATCAGAGACCAGCCCAATATTGGCCCTTACAGGCCAGTGTGGAGCTCTCGGAGGTCAATGTGGGCCCTCAGAGCCCAGTGCGAGGCACCCAAAGTTCAATCTTGAGCCCCCAGCGACCGAAGTGGATTCTTAAGAGGCGAGTG